TTAATGTTGCTTAGACTAATCTGAGTGCGACGGTAAGTTGTTTCATATAAGATTACGAAGTTAGGTTAATGTTACTGTTTACTGTTTAGTAGTCCTTAAAAGTACCCTCCATCATGTTAAGGCTTGTGTTCGCAGTTTTGCAAGCTGACTATATAAGCCTACGGTGCATTTGTTTATTATTGTTTATATTATTTTATGTGTTGTAGATGCATGTTCTGTGAGGATAGTTTTCAAAAGCTTTTATGCATGTCACGCATGTTACATTACCTTGTAAAGATGTTAAATATTGAAATACTTTATGAATACATGGGATCACGTATCAGAAACACCGTAGTTATAGACACCGCATCCCAAAGATGCAATACTTTTGCAAATGCACCGAGACACCTCTATGCTATGTTGCAAAGATATGCAGCAATACATGTGGAATAATGCCTCTATATTTTGTAGGAACAAATTTTAGCGAGGTGGTTTTTGCGAATCATAGATGAGAGATAACTCATAAAAGTTACGTAATTTGGTTAGAACTTTGTCTAAGATAAATCGTAAGTTTTAAGACTTTCGCTAATAAGCTCGATTATGATATCATTTACTATTATTTAAGATGTATGTTAGTCTTCACAACCTTAGGAACGTAGGGTGTGAAGCTATTCGAGTAAAATATATATGAATATATAGCCTTTTTAAATTACTAATATCTGAATATAACCGAGAGAAAAGATAAAGAAATATTCAGTAAAAAATTCATCTGGTTGAAAACATACAACAACTATATACGTTGAAGACGCATGATGAGATGTTATTTTGGTCCCGTGTGATGAACGGAAAAACTTGTATAAATAGACTATTATGTTTGAAAAAAGTAAAATAATAAATAATTTAATAAATGGTATTATTAGATAGTTATTTAAATAAAAGTAATGGTAAATAAATAAAAATGGGGAATTGAAAGGTGAGCGTGAAATGTTTTCCAATGATGGAAGTCACTTGAGTTGTATTCATGACTACTAATGTTGCTCTATAATCCAAGTTTTTTTTTTAATAATTATATTCAATTTAAATATCTTTTAACAAAACTTCTTTTATAAATAAATAAATTATCCAACTTTCTAAATTTTTTTTAATAAATAAACCATCGAACTTTCCGATTCTCAATGATTAAGAGGTCGTTTACCAAATGTTTACTGATAAGAATCACTACTTTCATTTACTTTATGAGATAACATTTCAATCACCACTCTCACTTACCTTATGGGGTAACATTTTAGTCACCACTCTCACTTACCTTATGGGATAACAATCTTGGCCATCAAATGGATTAATGGTAAGCGTATATAACGTGGTAAATGTTTATCGAGTAAGATTATTGATCCTTACATTCCCTTTTATTGGGTAATATTCTCGGTTTTCGTTATGTTCACATGGTTAGATAATTGAATCAATAAGCGCTTACCAAGGTAACTGTTTAGTAAATGGCCTCTAAGTTTCTAAACATTTTTTTTACTAAATAAACCATCGAATTTCTAAGAATTGATTACCTGCATTCTTTTAACCCAAATAATCTATCTTTAACCGACTAGAAATGTTTAAACATGTTCCAAAACTCTACGCCATTAAAATCGTTCACATCGAACACCATCGCTCCCTCACCACCCATCATCGCCCGCTCTCCATCACTGCTCATCGCTTTCTTTAGCCCTTGCCATCGATCTCCCTCTTATATATATATATATATATATATATATATATGTATATAGGGTTGGGTGAACGTTAGACCAAGGGTTTTTCCTGAGACCCGTAAGACCAATTTATGTTCATTGATCAACTTTATAACCTATGATATAATGGTCTAAAGTTGCACGGTGACAATTTTGTGATTATTGAGAAGTCTCGTGACAATTTTGTGATTATGAATGTTCAGATTGTAGATCTAATCGAATGGTTGAAAATTGGTTTTACGGGTCTCACAAAAAGCCCTTGGTCTCACATGATCCCAAGTCTATGTATATATATATGTGTATATATATGTGTATATATATGGTTGGTTCCCAGTGAGGAGGGAAGTTATGGTGAAAAGTGTAAGAAGAGATTTATACCTTGGATCAATCCTAATTAAATGTCAACATTAATGAGGTGCACCAAGATGTATTGGATCAATTCCCTTCTAAAGCGTAATTCATGAGTGGGCATGAGATTTAAAGTAATCAAAGATTCAGATCTATTCTTATGTTTCTCACCATAACTTTTCTTCTTACACGATTTTTTTGCCTATATATACATGAGTTGGGTTCCGATGAGAATGAAAGTTAAGATGAGAAACATAAGAATGAATTTCCATCTTTAGATACACATTAGGATGAGATGTCCCGTATCAAGTGCGATTCTTGGGTGGGTTTGAGAGCAAAAGTGATTATGGGTCTAGATCCCTTCTTACACTTCTCACCTTAACTCATCATTCTCACACGATCCTTTGCATATATATATATATATATATATATATATATATTGTCCCTCTATTTGACCCCGTCTAAAGATACTTCATTAGTTTACGTTCTAGAAGAGAATTGATCTATTCATCCATTGCCTTTTTAAAAATATATTTAAAGAAGCATTTAACTGTCAATAGTTTAAAGAATATCTATTTAAAAGTTAAATTCCAAAAAAGTCTATATTTTAATATATTTAAAAAAAATAAACATATTAATTTTAGTAAATTTTGAATATTTAAAATTAGAAATCAATAAAAATACACGTATGTTAAACACAATTTAAACTAGTATAGAATTCAATTCATATTTAGGATGTGTTTGGTACGCTGGACAGGGTGAGACAGGACAGAACAGAACAGATTTGTCCTATGTTTGATATGGCTTAATGTGGAACTAAGTAGAACTAGATAGTACAAGAGTGGGACACACGTGTTCTCCTTTACCCCATGAAACTAAGTGGAACACAACTTTTTTTACCTAACTACCCTTCTCCTCCATCGCTTCCTTCAACTATTTTTACATCGCATGAAGACATGACCCCCTTCTCCTCCATCGCTTCCTTCAACTCCATCGGCGGCAACTCTTTGGCCCCTTCCCACCGCTGCTGCTTCTATCACTGGTTAGGTCTCCATTTCGGCCCAGAGTCGCTTCCATCAACGTTAGGGCAACGAATACGCAGCGACTTCCAGCTTCACTCCATCGTTCTTCGATCATCTAAACAGTAGGAGCGACTTCCAGCTTCACTCCATCGACTTCCAGCTTCACTCCGGTGAGTTTTTTTGTTTCWTCCGTTTTCTTTATTTCAACGATGTTGAAATGAGGTATTCCGAAACTGGGGAAAGATTAGGGTTTTATGCAATTTCTTAATTGGGGAAAGATTAGGGTTTTATGCAATTTCTTAATTGGGGAAAGATTAGGGTTGTGCAATTTCTGTTTACATAAACAATCTGCTTATTTGATTAGGGTTGTGCAATTTCTGTTTACATAAACAATCTGCTTATTTGATTAGGGTTGTGCAATTTCTGTTTACATAAACAATTCTAGTAAAACTCTTATCTTATGAAACTAGATAAAATAGGAATTGATGAAAAACTTAGATAAAATAGGAATTGATTAATTGAAGTACTTATTAGGGACCAGTGTTACCAGAATGCATTTCATAGTAAAAAACACTAAACAGCTCACTGGGGGGTAAATTGGTCATTTTAACCAGTTCTGTTCTATATTGTCCTGTCTTACCAAACGCTGAACAACTGTCCTGTCCTGTCCTGTCCCGTCCCGTCCTGTCCAGTCCTGTCTGCGCACCAAACGCACCTTTATGTTCCAATTTCTATATCTAGTAAATGGTGATTATTTTTAAGTAACAAAATAGACAAATTTTAACACATCAAAATGAATAGTTTTATAGTGTACTTTTAGTTATCTAATATCTATACCATATTATATAACATTTGACAAAAACTCTTAAAAACAATTTTTTAAGCATGAAATACTGTTCATTATTGCTTATTACTTAAAGTTCAAAATTACAAGTAAATTTTACGTAAATACAACTTATTAAAGCTTTATTTTTGAATTCGTATAACTAACTGCAGATAAACAAAATCAAATACATGATAAAAATCTCATTTTAAATATAAAAATTTAAAATATAATTAGGATAATCATTGAGTTTTAACATAATACTTAATTATTATCCTTATAAAAATTAAATTATTAAACAAAAATAAATTACTTTATTATCAAATCTAAATTAAATTATAATAAAAATAACGATATATTTGTTTCAAATTTTTATTTTGTTCAAAAATAAAAATATTACTGTTTTCAAAAACTACGTAAAATCATATTATATCGTCAGAAAAAAATAAATAAAATAAAACATTAAAATCAAAATATATTTCATTGCATTGTACAATTATCCTTATAGTGTAAATAATTCATGTATAAAAGATGATTTAAAATAATAATTATTCTTTGAACCAAATTAAAAATAACTATTAATAAAAAATAAACTATAAATCGATTGAATCAAACAGACTGTAAGCGACCTCCCGCCGAGAATTTCGGTCCAACAATACAAATTTAATTTATACGCAAAAAAAAAAAAGAGACTTATCCAGATATTATTCGACAATTAAAAAAAACAGAAAAGAAACGAAAATATGATTCCATTGGAATGTTGGTACGGATTTAACCCGACCCGGCCCCGGAATTATCTGTAGCAGATAATGCTGACATGGCGCATTAACTGAACCGTTAGCTTCGGTTAATTGGCGTTAAGGTTCGTTAATCTGGATCTAACTAATTAGGCGAGCGTCGGTGATTTAATTAACCTAACTATGGTTAAATTCCCTTTTTTAACCTGTCGTAATCAAACGGCCGTTAAGTTTTTAACATTCTTCTGTTCTTCTCTATAAATGAGGCCGTTACAATGGGGCTGCTGATTTGACTCCTCACTTCGTCTCTTTCCTTCTCTCTGTACACATATATATCGTTGCTCACCTTGCTCTGAATTCAGATCCAATCGCTCACACATACACAAAGGTGTCGTGTGAAACGGGATTGGAGGTGAGGAAGGAGGAAGAGAGTCTTTGTAATGGCAATGGTGGTGGTTAAAAAATCGGTGATTGGATGTTCGTTTCTGTTTCTGGTTTCGTTGCTTGTGTTTGTCGCCGTCGCCGGTGCAGCTCAGAACGAGGACAACTCGAATCCTAGGTGTGTTGCTCTTTATCTCATTGCAATTCTCGTTTGTTCTGTTTACTGCGAAGTTGCAGATCAATTCTGCGTGATTTAGCAATGTGTGTTTCCGTTTCTCATTATCTACATCAATCATTTCGAAAATGAGTTTATCAAGTGTTGGAAAGTAATTTTGGAGATTCATGAAACTTGAAATTCGTATGTGTTATGTGAAATTGAGGTGCTGATTAAGTTTAACAAACTAATATCTGTGTGTATGGCACAGGGATGTTGAAGAAGATCAGTTTCACGGCTTGAATATTTCATCATTTGCAGCTAGGTAAATAACAAACAACACCGACTAGGGTTATTTTTTGGACTACTATGCACTCTCGTCTTTACTTCAAAATTTTCACCTCAATCTTATCCGAGTCGTTCGCCACTCGCTGTTGGATCCATTGGTATCTTTGTTCATCGACGAAGAAAGCTAAAGTTGGAACGATATAAAATTGCAACTGTTGAAGCAATAATAGTTCTGAGATCTGAATTGTTTATCACCATTATTCATCCTTGGATCGTCTTCTTTTAACAAACCTTCGTACTTATTCCTGCTTACAGTACGCTGCCAACCAAAACTGTAAACAGCATCTTGCTGCAGACTCGCCATTTCACACAGATTGAAGGAGTTTTATCTCTCCATAGTAAAAGGCCATTTTCATTGATTTTCTTACCTTCTCTCTGGAAAACAACATTACTTTCTCTTTCACGCAGTCAAACACACAGTGTACAAGCAAATTACATTACAGTGAATGGTTGCAAAGTGTACTTTTGTGTCCGTCTACTTTTCTTCGCACCATTTCCTGCGTGCAATTATTTGGTGCATGTCGGTTCCTCACTTCTTACACCTTGTGGTTGTTTTACTGAAATGCCCTTAGCAGTTGGCTCAGATCACTTCAATTGCGGTTCATTTGGGCTTTTTATCTGTTGGTATCTGGTGTGCGTCACTTTCTGTGCTCTCCGAGTCACGTTCCCGAATTGTGTTTATGTTTTTTCATCAATGTGGAAGGTTGAATGATGTTGAAATTTCGATACATAAACCTTCTTTTTCTTTATTTAGCCTGCATTGATGGCTGACAAGTGACAACTACGTCTCTTTTATTTATTTATTTATAAATATCTTTGTTTATTGACATCCTAATTTTAGCTTGATTTTTCTGTTGCTGCAGAGCAAAGGAGTCTCAAGCTTTGAATGAAAATGCAGTTCAAGATCCTGAGGAGGTGGTCTCCATGGTTGAAATGTACGAATGAATTTTCTCTCTCTCTCTCTCTCTCATACATAGAAACCCATAATTCTGGACATAATATCAGATGCGAATAGGCCGTTCTTGGCTTTGTATATTTTGGGAATAGTTATTGGATCCTACTGGAATCTACAATTTGTAAACAAATGCATAACAATTATAAGGGTCTGATAATTAAAAAGGTGATTCCAATAGCATTAATTGAGGGTTCAAAATGGTGGTTGAGGCCTTGACCGTATTCTTGATGTGGGCATAACATAGCGGGCCTGAAACTCAAACCCACTTTTTTCACTCCTAAATTCTTCATACCCACTACCCTAATTGACATTTATTGGCCCTTGGGCATTTTCTTTTTCACATAGATGAGATAGCTAAGGAACTTCCTTTTCTTTTTGTCTAGCGAGTGATGACACACCCCTTTGTGAATGACAGAAGAATCAAACATCATGTGCACCTCCCCACATGGGTCTTTATTTTATATCATTAAACTCCTTTCAACTTTAAACGAATTTGTAGACCTACTTCTACCTTAAATAGTGCAAATTGCTTTCCCACTATATGAGATACCTGCAAAATCAGTCAATCACACACAACTCTTGATGTAGTAGGGCCAAAAAAGTTGTATGGTTTATATTTATAGAAAGGAATACCCAGCTTTCTCATCTTCAAACCTTTTCTACTATCCTCCAACTTAACCTTATTTTTGATTTTTATTGGGTTCACATTGAAGCATTATTTATCCTAGGGTCAATTCAGTACTTTTTGACCACAAAAGAATGGTCTGTCAGAATTTATTTGTATTTTTAATTCTCACCATGAGAGCTAATGTGCAAAACCAATCTTTGCCGTGTGACACCATCTATAATCTTGTTGCTGCCTCCATTTGGCACATCTACAGAAGATACACAAAAGATATGGTCTTTGAAGAATTAAGACAACTGACTTTAGCAACCATATAATACCGTTGCTGGCCATTATGTAGGTCTTTGACCAAATTACAGCCACCGACAAGCTTATGCAGTATCTGACATCCTTCCATTTTCGTAAATGCATACAACTGCTCATGCGCATGATTATTAAGAACAGTTAAAAAGACTGTTATGCTGCTAAGTTGGTCTTCTTTCATACTCAACTAGATATCAAACAAGTTTTTCATAACCTTTCTCAAAAACGTTATAAAAAAGCTTCAAACTTAGGAACTTCAAGATGTTGCAAAGAAATTCTATTATTGGATTTCATTATTAGGTAGTAAAACAAGACTAATTATCTTAATAATGAATACGGTAATATCGAAATTGTTCGTCATAGTGATTTGTGATGTTGAACAGGAGCATGAGAAACAGCACTGAAAGAAGGAAACTAGGATACTTCTCGTGTGGAACCGGTAATCCCATTGATGATTGCTGGCGGTGTGACCCAAACTGGCAGCGCAACCGMAAGCGYCTTGCYGAYTGTGGYATTGGTTTTGGYCGKAATGCCATYGGAGGCCGTGAWGGWCGKTTTTACGTKGTSACKGAYTCCRGRGAYKACGAYSCYGTKAACCCACGACCYGGCACMCTWCGKCAYGCKGTCATMCAAGATGCTCCKTTGTGGATTGTGTTCAARCGWGACATGGTGATCCARTTGAAGCAAGAACTTATCATGAACAGTTTTAAGACCATCGATGCTCGGGGAGTCAACGTCCACATTGCTAACGGAGCTTGCCTTACCATCCAGTTCATCACCAACGTCATTGTTCATGGTTTGCACATCCATGACTGTAAACCCACTGGGAATGCCTTGGTGAGAAGCTCACCTTCCCATTATGGTTGGAGGACAATGGCTGATGGTGATGCCATCTCCATCTTTGGGTCGAGCCATATATGGATCGATCACAATTCTTTGTCCAACTGTGCTGATGGACTCGTTGATGCCGTCTTGGGCTCGACCGCCATCACCATTTCCAATAATTACTTCACTCACCACAACGAGGTGTGTAAATCTTCAAACATTAATTTCCTTCTACTCCCTTCATCTCAAAATAGTATAAAAAGTTACACAATTTTAGAAATATATAATCATTAGACTTCATAATTAACTAAATGGCAATTGTATCTTTTTCCATATGTTAATTAAGGGTAGAATTGAAAAATAAATACTAAAATCGAAATGGTAGACATTAACTTTAAGATGGAGGAATAGTAATTTAGATAGGAAGACTAATAATAGGATGAACACCTTTAATGAATCGTTGAAACAGGTGATGCTGTTGGGCCATAGCGACTCGTATATGAGGGACAAGCAAATGCAAGTGACTATCGCCTACAACCATTTTGGAGAAGGTCTTATTCAAAGAATGCCAAGGTACTAATTCAAGAATTTATTGTAAGAATAGGATTTGACAAGTATCAAAAGTCTAATATCTGTTAGACTTGAACTATTTTTCATATATATATATATTAAAAAGGTAATTTAATAAGGTTTCACAAATATGGATATTATAATTATGACATGGGAAGCTGAAATTTGGTAAAAATCAATTTACAGATGTAGACATGGATATTTCCATGTGGTGAACAATGACTACACTCACTGGGAGATGTATGCCATTGGTGGAAGTGCAAGCCCCACCATCAACAGCCAAGGCAACAGATACCTTGCCCCTGTCAATCCTTTTGCCAAAGAGGTACTTGCTCTACTGTACTTTTAACTAATACCATTATATCCCTTGGGTCTAAAGTCAACCAAATATTTATGAAACTTAAATGGACATTTATTGACAGGTTACAAAGAGGGTGGATACAGCTGCAAGCCAATGGCATGGTTGGAACTGGAGATCAGAGGGTGATTTACTTCTTAATGGGGCTTATTTCACCCCATCTGGTGCTGGAGCCTCCGCAAGTTATGCCAGGGCTTCTAGTTTAGGTGCCAAGTCATCTTCCATGGTTGGCACCATCACATCCGGTGCTGGTGTCCTCGGCTGTCGTAGAGGCCGCCAGTGCTAGCAAGTCGCCCACCACCCCTCCTCCATTTCGTAAAGAGTCATATTTCTTTTTCTTTTTTTACAGTTACCGCCTGCCTATATATAAATCCTTCACATCTCCACTGCCTCTTACTCTATTCTGTGCAAGTGAACATTTTTATACACTATATCTTTCCCTACTTGAATCGTTTTCGTCATGACCAGCCAATTTGGTTATCGTTGACCCATTGTGGTCCCCACCTGTGCAACCTCGGCCAAGGTTCAATGAAAAGAAACCAAGGAGCAGTTGTTCATCCATTTATCCGTCCCCTTTTCCTGACCGTAGCTGGTTTGAATTGTGTACGTAGTATATCCGTCCCCTTACTTTAATATTTTTATTTTTATTTTTATTTTAAAATTTAAAATTTATTTATGGTTGTAATGTTAGTTTTTGTTGCGTCATAGAAAAAGGCAGAGTGTGAATGTGAAAAGCAGGAGCAATGAAAAAGGGGAAATTATTTGTTATGGAAACATTGGCGTTTTACTTTTGTGTTGATTGGAATCTAGCCTTTTTCTTTTAACTTTCTGAAAGAAAAAGATGGAGGAGTTTAGGACATGACGGGGATTGATTCTTAAAAACTTCATTTTCATACAAATATTTTATTTCAACTTTGCAAGCGAATAGAAAACAAAAAGGAAAAATCCAGAAAAAAGCAAATATTAAAATTTTTAACATAAAAATGTCAAGGAAAAGAGACTCTGTTTTGGTAGGAATCCGAATTAAGAAGAAGAGAATATGGATATGGATATGGATATGGATATTTAGATGTAATGATGTGGAAATGGAAAAAGGGAATTTAAGGTCAAATAGTCCTGCCATCCCATGCGATGCGACTGGTGAGTCTAGTGGTGGGTAGGGCATGTATATTAATATGGTAGGGGGTTTTGGCCTAACAAACATTTACAATGGAACCAACAGCATAAGGCATAAACCATTTTTATACACAATAATGGAAGTAGAAGTGGATAGATGGTAAATTATATGTTGCAACTTTTTGTATAAGAGACGAACCCACGATTTTACATAACCCAGCAGTTTAAGATGAATAATACGGTTTTATTAAAACAATTTATCTTCTTTAATTGTCTTTGACAGAGGCCTCCTGGTCCTGGTATCATTGCTGACATTACAAAGCTTCTTGATGTCTTCATAACCAAAACAAGAGAAACCCATGGTTAGAAGATTAAAATACCAGCATTGAGTTGGTTGGTCTCCATTTGCACTCAAACTTAATGTCTCTTTTTCAAAATATTTCGGATTAAAAGGACTAAGCATTTGCCAAAGCAATAGGTAGGGGGTCTCTCTCTCTCTCTATATCTATATCTATATCTATATCTATATCTATATCTATATCTATATCTATATCTATATCTATATCTATATCTAGAGAGTAGACATCTCATTGGCATCCAAAGGTTTAACTCTTGTTTATTTATATACTAAAAAACCATTTTCTCATACATCAAATACTTTAAGTTATATATATATAACTTAAAATTTAAGTTACAAGTAAATAATGTATATACTTTTTTAAAATTTCATGTTCAAATTCAT